GAGGCATGGCGTGTAATGATGTCACTCAAGTCTGGGCTGCTGGCAGAGAGCACATGGGCATTAGACACCATTAACATCCTGCTATATGATGATAACAGCATCATGACCTTCAACCTCAGTCAGGTGAGTGGATACACTCTAGGAAAGTACTGGGAGTGGGGGGAAATCTGGACTCCTGAAATAAATAGGGAATTAAGCAGTCCCTGACCATGATTTTGTCCTGTGTCTTTCATGTCATTACTTAAGTACCTGTTGCTCCTCGACATGGACCCAGGCTATTGAGAACAATAATAATTGGTTTAAAGGGTTATTATTGGCTTCAGGATTTACTTCAAAAAGAATGTGGGACAAACTTTTTGGAATGGGTAGGAAATAGTCTAGATATTAGGGGAAGACAACTTTTAAGACTAAGAACTGCCTTTGGTCTTTATCAGAGAACGGAACAGTTTCTCATTTTCTTTCTTTAATCTGTGTTAAAACAATAGTGCAGGGGAGCTCTGGTGGTCTAGTGGCAAGAAGCTGCACTGCAATCCCAGAGGCGCACGGTTACAATCCACCAGATGCTCTGCGGGGAAGGAGGGACAATTTCTTCCTGTACCAGTCAGATCTGATTTGACGGTATACACACACAAAAAAAATAATAAAAAATTAAAAAAAAAACCAAACAAACAATAGTGCATGAGAGAGCTATGTTGAGCCCATTGTTTTAAGATGTAGAATGAAAACTACAGACATGTCATTGTAAGAGTTGTTCTTTTGTTATTGTCTGTTGTGTCCTCAGTACTTTATGCCAGACTGTTTATATTTTGCCTAATGTCATCCTCATAGTGACCCATAATTGTCGGATATGTGGGCCTTTAGAATGAGTAAATTAACTTAGAATAAGGTTATGCCTTGCTCTGGTTCTGATTCCAAAGCCTGGCTTTATTTCCTTTGTATAATACTACTCAGCAGAAAGGAAATGAACAAATATTGACTGAACAGTTTCTTTTTACCAAGCATTTTTTTTAAGTATCCCATTTACAATTCGGAATAACTGGGGAAGTTAGGGTCTCCAACATTTCTTATGTAAAGATGGAAAAAATCTACAACTTGGAGAGTTTATGTCATATAGCTAGTTTCTGGGAAAGCCAAGATTCAAACCCTAATACTAAAACCCTTAATTTTTTTTCCCATTTTGCTATACTGTTCATCCAGAGACTAATCCAACTGGAGATTAGTGAGTTTTTCCCTAGAGGTCTATATAAGGACCCAAGCTGGAATTTAGGTCTCTGAAGCACCAGCTTGGGTCCTATGGTTGGAGAGCTGGCATCTTGTTTCACTTACTGTGCCACAAGATTTATTTATGAAGTCCATGCTCCTGGAATGTTGGAGAGCTTGGAGGAGAGTAGTTTTGTTTTTTTTTCCCTATAATTATATTTTATTAATTTTCATAAACATTTACAGAGATTTTGGGCTTCCACTCATTCATTGTTGCACTATTCTCTCTAC